GCGACGTGTCAAGAAGCAGTGCGGTGTCGTCTTACTTTGCCGATGCTGTATGCATATAGGTATATAGTATACATGTGCGACTTGCTCTATTCGTTGCATATATACGCATCACCTGTTCACATTTGAGTTCTCTCGCGAGCAATTATGTCAATTTGTGCACTCGCACGTCCGATCTAACGCTGTTCAGTGTACAAATATGCATATATGCATACGTCTCAGTAAATTGTTGCATCAGTCTTGCATAGGTAACCATCCTAAACAATAATAATACTGTCGTTTTAAATTGTTTATCTCTTGGTTGCCAAATATATGTGCCTAAACACCCCGAAACAACTTTATACGCTGCAACAGCTCAACGAAATTAACATTAGCTTCAACTTGTAACGTGTACAATTTTTGAGCTGAGATAACAACAGCTGTGGAACACTACGAGCATTCGCATAAGCCTTTAAAAGGTATTCCGCGAAAAAAAAAAAAAAAAAAAAAAAAAAAGCCTAATCTTCCCCACGATTCCCGCGAGGGGGTTTGAAAATTAATAGCACACTTAGCAGGGGGAGGCAGAGTGTTTATATCACACACACACACACACCGCCAACCGCGATATTCCGCGCGCGCGCAGATAGGAGCGACAAATTTATACATCAGGCAGATATATATTGTATACGTATATAATACGCATATAGGATGCGTTATAACGGAACCCTCGTGCATGGTGGTGTTGTTGAAGAAACAACATTTAAAAAAAAACGTACGCATTATCTCGCGTGTATACTTGTCTTATCGGTACAATATTATAAGTATCGCGGTATATACACGTAGTAGCTTGAATTGTACACCCGCGCGATAAAAACCGGACCCTCCACGCACCCAATATAAAACAGATATGGTACGTGTGTACTTTAATCCCCGCGGTGGTGGGAATCAAATAACGGCAACGAAGGGGGGAGACTATTTATCATCAATTAATATGGCCCTGCAGCGGAGCGCACTATAGTTTATGCAAAAGTGGCCGCAGCAGTGCGGTGTGCTGAGTTTGGTACACGGTGCCAAGTGAATATATTACTTGGTTGGCCGGGAGAGAGAGAGACGGTCTGTCATAATTGGGTGCCGTGAGGGCCCCGACACTCGGCGGAAACAATGGCTCCTCTTATCACGGGCGCAAAATTATGGGCGCTTCTCTCTCCTCCGCTGGTTTTTCTTTGCGTTGAATAGTTCATAATTTAGCTCAACGTGAGCGAGAAGGAGGATGGTTTTGATACGCGCACCGTATAGTCCGTCTCCTCGAGAGACCGCGATTTATTGTTTTAGTTGCTTTTCACTTGTTGTTAGGTGAATTGCACAAAAGTATAACTGCCGCCGAGTACTGTTACGGTGACTGCCGATTTTTGTCATCGCAAGCTTTTTTCGTTTCCTGTTGAATCACGAAATCGCACAGCGCGTTAATTGACAAACAATTTTTTTTCTTTTTCTTTTTTTTTTCGTTAAAAGCTTTGGATTTGCAAGTAAAGTTGTTGTCACCTGCCAGCCAGCCAGCAGGTGATAAAACACAATATTTGCACCGTGAAAAAACATGGATATTTGTTGTGCTGGTTTTTTTTCTCTTTCTCGAAATAAAATTTAAAAATAAAAAGCCAAAATGTCCCCCATTGACCAGTATAACAAATCCAAGAGTTGGATTTTACAAAAAAGGGCCACCTTCGTGCACAATACCTACATAAGGAGAAAAATAGCAAGGATGTGCACAAAGACGAGTACGTACATATATATATATATATATACATGCAAGGCTACACACTTGAATTTCAGTCCCCGGGAACTTTCACGAGTATTGCGCAAGAGGTATATGTACCAAGAGCTACGGAGGAGGGAAAGAAAGGCAGCAGAGTCCTCGCCGTCGTTGTCTGGCCAAACAAATGATTCGACGATCTATGATATTCGTCCAGCCATCCGCTCCTCCTCTTCTCTTATTATCATCACCATCGCCATCTCCTTCGCAGAAAGACAATCGAGTCAGTCGCGCGGGAACTTTTGGTATGTTGTCCGTATAAAAGAAATTAGAGCAGCCCCGCTACCACCACTGCTCGAAATATATCGGACCTTGGGCATTGTACTTTGCACCGATTATATTAATTAGCATTCATGAGTAAAAATAGAAGTAAGATTGCAATAGAGTCGGACACGAGTTGTGTTCGCATAAATCGTTCTCACGAGCGTCGGATTGGCAGACCAAGTGAGCCATCGTGTAACTCGATAAGTAAACGCTCGACGCCGACAAACAGATGAAATTAGTGTTGATTTGTTTCAGGCCCCAGAAATACAGGCGGCGACTCTATATACTTTTGGACGTGATAAATCTCACGATGCGAACAGTACTGTCGAAACCGAAATTCCACCATAGTCGAGCACCTACGTTTTGAGCTCAATTTTAATCCAAGGGGACAACCGCATGTGCACCAGGGATCACAGAAAAAGGAGCGGTTCTCCTTGCATACTGGCAACTTCGGAGGGGTAAAAATCGAATGTGCACATACCCATACGGACGTAAATTCGAAGCTAATGGAGGCCTGTCGACCTCGTCATCGCGGAGCCTTGCTCCAAGGTGAATAAACACCGCGTGCACAACTCGACGGGGGAGGGGGGATATAACAGCTGGTTTTCGGATGATCCCCGTAGCTATATCCTCTTTCATGGCGACCCGCGTGAAAAATTAACGTCACTATAGGAAGAAAATCGACATAACGATCGAGCGAGAACGAAAAAAAAAGGGGGGGGAAGAGGAGGAGGAGGCCTTATCGAGGACAAATCCTCAAAGCCTCGCGAGTGGAAAAAAAATTGCAGCACGGATGTGTATCCCGTGCAGGTGTGCGGGGGCTTGATAAATGATCAGCCGCGCGCGCGAGCGCTAAGAGATTTTCCGGTGCAGCCGAGAGAGCGATTTTTCATTGCGGCCAAATCGTCGGGCGGCCCTTCTCTCCCCCCGCGGGGACGATTGTTTTCGCCCCGCGCCGAGATGGATATCGCGCGATATTTCCACCACCGCCGGGGCCCCATCGTCGGGTTTTTCAGCCGAGCAGCGGAGGACGAACGGGTGCTCCAACGTGACGAGAGCGACCAGACAGCCGAGGGAAGAAAAAGCCTGGGCGACCGACCCAGATAAGTATACACTCTCTCCGCCAGCGGCGGTTGAATAATATTCGCCTTGGTAAATTTTTCGGGAGAGAAAAGCGCAGGACATAGCCGGGGAAGAATAGTTGAATAAAAAAGCATTGCTCGTCGCAGGAGTTTCTCAAGGTGCTGCCGGTCTGTAAAATTTATCGAAAAAAGAAGGAGGAGGAGAATAAAAGGAGAGGCAATTATCACGTATATATATATATATATGGAGGGATGTGTGGGGTGAAATGAAAAATGACCGGAGTAGAAGTGAAGAGACGCCGCTGGTGTCGATCAATCGCTGCGGTGGCTTTCTCGCGGGTTTTTTTCCCTCCTTCGGTAGAAGCGTTCTGCACTGACATTTGGAGCCGTGGAGAGGAAAGTAAGCCACGGGTTCTAGCGGAATTCACTCAAGAAGACCCGTATGTACATGGATCATATAGTAATACGTAGAGAGGCACAATTTACGGGAGAGAAGCGGAGTAGCTCCTGGGCTTCGCTGCAACACCATCAACGGAGCACGGGCCGGTAAGTTATGCGCGCAATAAGTGTCGGGTAACTCGATTGCCCCGACATTGAAGTAGAAAAGGGAAAGGGGGGAGGGGTGGTCCAGAGCTGCACCGCACTGTTCTCTCTCACATCCGAAAACCGGTTAGGCGCACCGGCTATACCCGTTAATTAACCGCAGCAGTGGATCAGATCGATTCTAAGCGAAAGACAAGTGGGTCAGGGAGCAGCGGCAACTCGAGTGCACTGGAGGGCTCCCTCTTCCTTCGGGGGCCACGAAACTTGCTGCAGCTCTCTTTTTCTCCTCCCTCTCCTCCTCGCGTGACAGCGGACAGTTTGAGCTGTCGGCCCAACCAGCCGGAGGTCCTTAAATGAATATAACGCTTCGGTGTGCCAGTGCATGCACCTATATATGTACCTCCCTATATCTTTTTTTTTTTTTTTTTTATTACATAGGAGATACGCGCTGCATACACTATTATCAGACTGCAAATGACGGGGTTTTAATTTTTGCCGTCCGACTGGATAACGTATACGTATACCATACTCTCGTAATTTGTGATCATATTATACGGTTGCTGGTCATTGAGAGAGTGCAGTCCTGTATGATACCTTTCGGAGCTCTCCGTGGTGAGTTTCGCGCGCGTGTACGTGTGTCCTTTCGTTCCGTCGGGGGAATTTAATGCCACGAAATTTGGCGATTGCCGCGTGACCACTGGCTCGCGGGACTCGACGGAGGATACTGCGCGTTATAACGTCGGTCGCGATTTTTCATTTTGAGTCCCGCTGGGCCGGTGACGGCCTTTCAAACGTGTATATATACATATATTTTTTTTTCTCCCCAAGGTGATACACGCCGGTGGAGAAATCCATCATCGAAAATTCGGCAACTCGCACGCAAAGGCGCCGACGAGCGCGTCGTCGTTGGCTTGTGTAAAATAAATCCCAAGTTTAATTAATGTTTGCGCAGTGTATATACCCTATGGGAGCGCGTTTGGTGGTGCGAACTTTTCCTAGTGGCTTTTTTGACAAACTCACTTTTCCTCAACGAAAGACGCACTTTTCTCGAGCCAGACCGAGAAGCGCGTGTGTACGGATGAGAGCGTCCACGCGCAAAGTCAAAGATTTTCCGAGCGTGAATTAGACGCCTCGGCGCAAGCACTTTCGCGCTCGTTAACGAAGCCCACGCCTCTTTTTTTCTCTCTCTCTCCCACACTTAACATCCGCAAGTAAATATAGGTACGAAGACGCAAGTGCCCTCGTTGCACAAGGTACCGAAATGCCAGCTCTTGGGGGGTGGGGGAAAAAAATATAAAAATTGTGCACAAGTGGCGCGGACTCACCGAGATAACAGAAGAGCAGGACAATGACGAGCGGTAACGCACCGTTGGCCGCCATCGTTGATGGATTCTTCCGGTGGGCTGCAGGTGCTCTTGGATTCTTGGCTTTGTTGTCGAACAGCAGTTGTGTACACGCAAGTTCGTGGAGGCACTTCACATTATACACGGGAGTCTCCGGAGCGCGTGCTTTTGTAATTTACTGTAAATATTGTGTCCGGCCGTCTTTGACGATGTCACTGGGACACTCGACGAACTGCAGTCATGGCACACTGTGTTTTACATATAATACCCACACGTACCCACCCCTTGTACAGGTATATAATTACAACACACACTGCACGCGATACTTTTCGTTCACCATCACCACCCCACTGTATAATTATTACACCGCCCCTCGATCGCGTTGTCTCTGTTACCTCACCTTCGTCCCTCTTTCCCTCGCTCCTCCGAGTGAACGAAAAATTACGCTCTTCAGTCGTCCCACCTTTGCTCCGCGCCGAGTCGATGCCTCAGGCCGCTGTCTGCTGGAACAGAAAAATAAAAAAAAAATTATTGCATTAGTTGGCCCGTCCTTCAACACGTCTGATCAAAAGTAATGCCGATCGCCCGAACCTGTGGACTCCTTGTAAAGCCCACGATAAGAGACGCAAGTTCGCAAAACACACATCAGCCGCGTGAGAAATTGGTATTTCGTTGAAAAAGTTTTGCTCGCTCCGTCTCCTCACCCCTCCACCCTTGGTAATTGAATCTCACGTGTATTTAAATAAAATCACGGAAAGTGCGAGTACCCGTACACACATAAACGAGGGAGGGAGAGGGAGAGGAGGGAAATTTCGACACGACAACACGTGCGCATGAAATATCGCACTTTGCCGAGTATACTTTTCTCATTTATCAAGTCCCGACGATCGGCCCTCTTTTCTCTCAGCCAAAGTTTCGCGAACTCGAAACTCGATCCCCCTCCCTCCCTCTCGAGAGGTGCAACGTGTACATGTGTTTAATTTCTCATGTATAACACGTGTATATACGATTATCCAAACGCCCGAGGGCGGTAAAAATGCGCGAGAAATCACGGGTTTTCCCGAACGAGGAGTGCCGTATGGGTTTCTTTTGGGACTCGGTCCCACGTCGGGGCATCAAGCCGCGAGCAAATATTATCCCATCCATCGCTCGCTGTGGCTTTTGGTTTGCACACACATACACACACACACACACACACACACACACAAGTGCACGAGTTCGGCTAACTCGCGTCTCTGTTTGCAAAGGAGCGAATGTTACGCAAATACCCATATATGTACTCCCATTGGCCCGTTTTTTTTTTGTCAGCGGATCGTTTGCACGACAAAAGGCTCCGATGGACCGGTGCCGCTTAATTGCGAGGGAGAGCTGGTGACTTTTCGACTGTAAAGTACTGTCGTCGCGGGAATGGATAAAAATTGTGAGTATACGTGCAGTGGTGGGATTATCGAAGGGGTGCACGCGCTAATGGAAGCGAACGCTCATCGAGGTTCTTTTGATGCCCGAGTGTTGAATGGTCATTAATTTTCAGCTCTCTAAGCGGGTCAAAGAGGTTTCGAGAGGTGTTTGCAGGCTTTTTTTTTTTTTTTTTTTTTTTCAGCGACTCTACAACACACTCACCGGGTTGTCGATTACGCGACGTACCTGTACGTGGAGTGGGTCTCGATGGCGCTCGAACATTGTTGTGCAACGAGTGTATACAACATGTATATTCAACAGCGGCTATCGTTTTATCTGTGTGCATGGTGTATCCATATGTTTGCCAATTCATTCACACTTTTGGTTTTTCTTATGTACATGTTTTGTAATTGTTACACTCTCCCTTATTTTTTCAAGCGTCAGCTTTGATCGCCGACACCGAAGAGGAAACTTTTCAACTGCAATTAAGAACACCAAAGTATGGTACGAAAAATGCTTTTACAAGCTCCCAACAACGAAAAAAAAAAAAAAAAGAGACCCGGTCCCAACATATCGCGGGACACGTATTCAAGATTTCGTCACAAGAAAAAATAAAGCCACCTCGCCAAAAATGCGGCTCAACCGCGCTCGCCGATTATTCATTATATAGTCGCGTATGACGGCGAACTAGCTTATTCGGCGCATTATAAATTACGTAAACCGTCTGGACGATGGAAATTTAGTCGCGCATAACCCGAGTATACGCGCACGGATATTTATATATATATATTGAATTACCCATCGTCAACACACGACTCCGGGCGATAAGGCAACTTCTTGTGTTACGGGCCGATTAAAAGCCCATATGATACTCCTCGGCGAGCAAGTAGCTCTCGATACTTGGAGGCGTGTGTATACGTGTATCCAACCCTTACTCTGAAAAAACGAGCAGCAGCGCGATACTATTATACTTATACTTATGGTGGAAGAAAAATAAAAGTGGACACCATTTATACATAGGTATATACACATGGTGTGGGAACACCGGTTCGCTCGCGGAATACATAGTACGTCTTTTACAAGAGAGAGAGAGAGAGAGAAAAAGCCGTCGGGACCTTATCAGCGGGAGATTGCGCGCAGATTAGATTAGATTAGATTAGTTTATTGGGCCATGGGGTCAAACCCTATGTGGCCAGTAAAAAATTTACAATGTGATACAAATCAATGGTAAATAATTGAACAAAGGTATGTAAAATTTGAGGCAATATAAAAGATCGCATAAAAACTTATTGACATATAAAAGTTGCTCTCAATACAGAATCATTCATGCAGGGGTACAGTGTGGTAAAAATCGTCGATTGTATAATAAATATTTAACGTATCAGAGATTAACAGTAAACGGATCATGATGTAAAACCTATGATTGTACACATTGAAGATACAAAGAGAGATATTGGAAAAAAAAAAAAAAAAAGGGTCATGTGCTCAGAGAGTACTTACGTGTATCCACGCACACACAATACGGCGTCGAAGTTTCAGGTGCAACGAGTTCGCGGGATTAAAAGTTCTCGGGACTACTGCGAGTGTAAGTTATACCTAATATTTATAGGAAAAAAAAAAAAAAAAAAAAAAAGGTAACTCAGCAGCTTCCGCTTGTACGCGATCCCGCTGTCCTGGAGCCGTTGTTAATACAACCATATATCTATAGGTATAATTATCTTATCTGCCCGTGAAGTATTCACGTATTACGAGAGGAATAATGGGCCACCCGTTGTATACTTACTATTGTTACGCTGACTCGAATCGCATTTTTATCCGTATACAGTAGTGTAACAACAATAAAACACAGAGTATTATAATACACGAGCAAATTGATGTTTGATTTACGCTGCACGGAGGGATTAAGGGAATAAGGAGATGTTGTTCCTTTGGAAAATTATGTGGCGAATATCGCAAAGGCCCGAGGTACTTATTGTACATATATATTTTACTGGGATGATTATACGAGAGTTTGAAAGTTTCGCCGCCCGCGACAGGCATCATAATTATATACTGTACATAAACATATTTGATATTCCGTATAGTTAGGAAGGCGACTTTTGAAGCTACGTAACTTTTCAAGTGTTTCGTATTACGAGTAATGACGAGTAATGATGTCATTTTAGACGTTTTGATGATTCGTCGAGAGATATTGTTCGATCACATTGTGGATATACACCCGATGTAACATTAATATATAACGATGCACCGATCGTATATAGCCAAAGGATTCATTATACCGCCATACATCAAGTGGGTGATGTACGTATGGGTATACCCGTATTATTAACGCAGTAGTCGTGACTCGGTGTTCAAAGTCCCCTGTACCGGAAGGGCTGTACATACATATATACATATCATAGTTAATACACGTATAGCCCAGCTTTCCGCTTAATAAACTAAAGCGAACATCAGCAGGAGTAGGAGAGTTAGCGAGTGAACGTAAAGGGGCAGGTCGCGGAGATGGAGAGTAATGTAACCCCGTGGCATTATATCCGAGGAGTCGTCGCTGCGGGACAAAAAGACGCTCTCGCGATCTCGTCACGACAACACGGCCAGGAGGAGTGTATAGTATATACACACGGCACAATAGCTCATCGCCCAAGGAGCAAGTTACGGTAGTAGCCAGCAGGAGGAGGAGAGATATCATCGGACCCCGTGCACTCCGTCTAAACAAAAGGCGCGCGATACAAATCATGAGAAAGAGAGAGTTCGTGATACAGAGAGTATATATATAGGTATGTGTACAAGCGGCGGGGGCGTCGTTGCACCAGCGGCAAATATATATATATGATACGTCGCGACTGGAGAAATTTCACCGCGGCTGCTGTGTATGTACCCCGTGACTGCGCTAACTTCAATTCCGGCTCGTTAAAACGCCCGCTGGCTCCATTTAAATTTCACGTCCTCCCTTTGGGGAAACCTCCTTGCCCGCATATAGATATATATATATATATGTACACACGCGTCACTCATCGGTTGTCCCTATGCTCGGGGACCTCGCCGATGCCTGTGTACTTATTAACACGTTTACACGTCAAACGGCTGTTGGCCTGTGTAATAAAGAGAAAGAGAGAGAGAGAGAGAGAGAGAAAAAAAAACGGAGAGTATATAGATGCGCGGGAGTGGGCTGTGGTTTGCGCGGTGCTAAAAACGTCCTTTTCGAGCGGCGCCATCGGCAATAGTCTCGAGGTCGAAACGACGCGCGTGCCTATTTTTCTTTCTCTCTCTCTCTCTCTCTCTTACTCTTTCCGTCGATGATAACCAAGTTATTCCGGTAGCTTGAGCCTCGAGTGTCTATTTGTTCAAATTAATCGGCACAAAATGGCACCGAGAATCAAACATCTTAATCGTCTCAATGCAACCCTCTTTTGTCAATTACCACGTATATATAACGGAGGAACAGTCCATCAATATCAATCCCGTGACGACGACGCCTCGCGCTCGCGGATGTTATCGAAAGCTCGAAAGCAATTTTCGCGCTCTCGCGATACAATCCGAGTGTATATAGAAGCCCCCACGCCCACGTATACCTACACATAAACTCCGGACAGACGGGAGTGTGGCAAAATTCTTCGCTCGCGTCACCGCTCTCCCCCGCACTCGAGTTCTATTTCCGAGTCTTCAGCGCACTCCCCCCCCCCCACCCCGAGCGGAAGTTGACGGTAACGCTCGGAAGCTGCGGGTGCACCTCTACCACGCCGCTTTTTTGGCACATCGCGCGTACACAAACACCCACCCACTCGACGTGTAGCCATGAGCGTCCGGTCCGAGCCCACTTGTTGCTCTCTCGTGTATACACGCGCGCGCTATGTGTGTATCATGAGCTCGTGCGATTAACCGAGCAGATTTTTATCATTTTGGCCTTTTTCTGCAAGAGCTCCGGGAAAGGAAGAAAAAAAGGTACGCGCCCTTGAGTCGACGTATATAGCATCGGAAGCTTAAAAAAGAGGAGGAGGAAACAGGAGCCGCTTTTAGTTCTTAACGCACGAAAACGAGGACTCAAGTGCAGCGCAATTTGTCAAGCGAAAGCGCGCCTCGACCCACTTTTCCCCCTCCTCGA